ATATACATACATAAATTTACAACATATACATAATATATAATACACATACTTTTTCTTTTTGTTTCTCCAAAAGGTTGAAAATCTTCCCCACATCTCCTTCATACCGTATTTGTGCATTACAAACTTTAAACATTAAGAGTGATAACATTATACACGTTTGTATATTATATTTATAGTAAGCCAATTACATGCAAGAGTTCTCTTTATTTATAGCTATGAAGCACTCATTAACACTATTTGTGCTGAGCAACTCACTCCAAATGAGAACTCCACAATTCACATTGGCATATAAGGTCACATGTGGGGCTGTCAACGAGACATGTCTCGCCTGACAGCCCACATGCTAGCTGTCGGCACTGCCCCTCTTGGGACAGTGTACCGAGACAAGAGGTCTCGGCTGACTGCCCCATGTGGGCTGCCAGCCGAGACTTCTTGTCTCGGCTGACACCGCCGCGTGCTCACCCATTGTGGTGAGCACGCGGACCGGTCCTCACGGGACACGTCAGCCGAGACAAGACGTCTCTGCTGACGGCCCCATGTGGGCTGTCAGCCGAGACCTCTTGTCTCGTCTGACACCGCCGTGTGCTCACCCACTGTGGTGAGCACGCAGACCGGTTCTCAAGAGACCTGTCAGCCGAGACAAGACGTCTCGGCTGACTGCCCCATGTGGGCTGTCAGCCGAGACCTCTTGTCTCGGCTGACACCGCCGCGTGCTCACCCCCTGTGGTGAGCACGCGGACCGGTTCTCACGGGACCTGTCAGCCGAGACAAGACGTCTCGGCTGACTGCCCCATGTGAGCTGTCAGCCGATACCTCTTGTCTCAGCTGACACCGCCGCGTGGTCACCCACTGTGGTGAGCACGCGGACCGGTACACCCGGGGCAGTGCACCGAGACAAGACGTCTCGGCTGATTGCCCCATGTGGGCTATCAGCCGATCCCTCTTGTCTCGGCTGACACCGTCCTGGTCAGTCAACCGAGTCAAGACTCGGCTGACTGACCCATGTGGTCTGTCCCCCCCCCCTCCCCCCGCTTGCTCCCAAAATTGAGGTTGAGAGCACAGGATGGCCACAATGGCCATTGAAGTAATATATGTACTTTAATATATGGTTGTTTCTATCTACACCATACAAATAATTTTTATATATAAACTATCATACTTTAAATACTTGGGTCAGATATTTCGTGGTTTGTAAAATTAATAAATATTTTTTTAATGAATTATAAAATTTTGACTATAAATATGTCCATTTCCCTACATAATTCTAACTGAGCTTATTATATCCCTTCCTTTATCACAACTCTCTACTACTTTCTTTCTTCACATCTCTTACAATTTGTACATTTTCACTATGATTCCTTTGATGCAATTTTGGTTTTTAATTAGTTGTTTTAGGTTATCTAAAATTTCAAAGTTTTTTTTCACCACATGTTGTGCTCGCCATTGCAATGATATTAACTTTCAATTAATTCTCGCGATTTTCTTCTCAATCCAAGAGTGAGAAATACTGAAATTTCACGCACGGCATTCAGAGGTGGTTTTGGAGGTAGGTGCCGTAGCAGTGTACTCGGAACGACCACGGTTGGAGGCCGATTCAGACTACTCTTGGTGATGTGTCCCTCGGATTGCACCTATGGGCTGGGTTGCACCCATCATGTTCATTGTTTTTCCTATGGAAGTGCAAATGGAAAGACTATGAATAAGGACAAACTGTCAGCCCAAATATATTAACGGTCTACCACTGTACTCTTGAGTTTTTGATCCATATCGGGTTTTCCTGATGCTTGAGCTCGAACTCGAAGTCTAGAGGTTCACCGTATAAAATCCTTAGTTATTAATGTCAAATATTTTTTTCCCATGGATAGCTTATCCTTAAAAAATGATGTATCGTGTATTTTGTAAATTTCGGAAATGTAAAGTTCAATATAATATTAAAAAAATTATTTAATTATACAGTAGTTACTTCTTATATTTTGTATTACGTGAATTATTTACTCACACTCAATACTGTTGAAATATCACAATATCATACACAAAGGTGCATATCCAAATCCGATGTACATGGAGATATATAACTCGTAAATGTATATTTTGTTTTCTATACGATTAAATAATTAATTCTAAAAGTAACAACATTCAAATTCCTAGTTTCTTATGACTCGTCCTCACAGATAAAATGTACAATGTATAAATTCCAATCACAACTCTAGTCTACTCTACTCAACTTCAAAAAAAGTATAAATATGTAAATGTAGACTATCGGATACTAACACGCGCATTAGAGTCGCAAAATTTAGAAAAATATTATGTGCCCAGAAAAAAGGGATGTATGTAGCAAAATATTAGAATAATATCCGGCCCGCCATGGACATAAACGCGTTTGGGAAATGCATTTTTCGAAAAACGCATTTCCCAAACGCGTTTATGACGCCGGCTAAATCGCCGGCCGTCGGGGCACCGGCGATGAAGAAATACTATAGCCGCATTTGGGAAATGTGGCTATCGTATAACATACGAGAGCCGCATTTCTCATACGCGGCTATGTCTATACGGCAACTGCATTTGGGAAATGCGGCTGTCGTATATTATACGACAACTGCATTTCCCAAATGCGGTTGTCTGTAAACTATGCAAGCCCGCCACACGAGTTTGGGAAATGCGGTTTTGACCACAACCGCGTTTCCCAAACTCGTTTTTCCCATTCTTGTCTAAAAAAATTTGACCTCCCATTATTGTCCACAAACACTTCCCAATGCCCATTTCAGTCAAAAACCCTTATATTTATATATTACAAGCTAAACATGTATGAATCTTTCTCCAGTCAAAACAACCCCAATTCAACAACAATAGAATGTTTCTTCCATGACAGGGAGGCAAGAGAGAGAGTAATGGTTTTCATATTTTGTTTGGTTTCCTTTCTTCTTCTCAGCTTTTTTTTTCCTGGTTGTTGGAACAACTATAATGACTAAAGTTAAGCACATATTTATCATTTTAGTATACTCCATGTTAATGATGAGTACCTAAAATATATATAATGGGTCCATGCCCATCTGCAAGGAAAAAGACGTTTTGGGGGAGTGACAGAAAAATCAATAAAAATGTGAATATAGAAAAATGGAACTCCTATCATGTACATAATAAATTTTGTAGCTGAGTATAGACATTCTCCCATAGAAAAATGGAACCCCTATCATGTAGATAATAAACTTTGTAACTGGGGGTCAAAGTGTAAAGGAACAAGGAATTTAGAGTCCAATAAGCGGAGAGGCAAGGAGTTTGGGGTGCAAAGGGAAAGAGGTAGGGGGTTTGAATCACAAGTCTAGAGGGGAGGGGGATGAATAGACTAGTGTAGATTTTAGAAAACTTTTAGAAATTCTAATTAAACTTAAGATGAACTTAAGTTAGAATAACTTTTCGTAAATGATTTGGCATCGAAAATATGTGAACCCTTTTTAGATTTAAACACAATTTAGTCTTAGCAAATTTTAGGTTTGGTTAGTTTAAAGACTTGAACAAATACTTATAAAGTAGAGAGAAAAGGGGAGAGAGATTTTTATAGTGGTTCGGCTATAAACCAACCTACTCCACTCTTCAACAAAAACTCCTTGAAGGATTGCATTAAACCCCTTAGTACAATAGGAACACTTGAGTCTTGATCACAAAGTCGGCCTCAAGTTTCCAGGTTTTTCACAAGTCACCACTTCTTACTCCGTCTCTTTCTACTTCACCGAGTAGAGATACAAGTTTAACAACACAAAAATTGTTGATCCTCCAATTTGTTGTAGGCTTGGCACTTGAATCTTCACTTCTCGTTGGCCAAAATTTGAGCTTGATCTGGAATTGTAGCTCTTTTTCTCTTCCTTCATTGGTCGGGTTTTTCTAGCACTTTGAAAGCTTTGAACACTTGATAAATTTCAATAGAATGACCAACACCTTCTTCAAACTTGATTGAAGGTATTTATAAGACCATTTGAAATAAATTCCGGGAGGGAGATTAATTTCAAACATCTCTTAACCCTTGGGTAATGACAAATGAATATTGTGAAAGGTTACTTTATGTCAGATTTTTCAGCCGTCGACACGCATTTACTTGCTGCACCTTACTTTTTGTACTGCACCTTTTTGTCTATGCTTGTAAGGAAAATCTACTTTGGAATGTGTACCTAGGACTTCAATTGCTTTGGTAACATTTTGCATAAAGTTCCTGACTTTTAAGGTTTCGAATTGTTCGCTTAGAGAATGTCTCAAACAATTGATCCGAGGTTAACTCTTACCTTTCGAGTTAACTCTTCGTATCATAACTTTTGTAGCCTTTCAGAGATGACTATCGAATAGTCATTCCAACTACTCGAATAAGTTAACTCTTTGAACAGTCATTGCAACCTTCCAGTCTTCTGAGTCTTCTACTCTTTGTAGCTCCTCGTTCTCTTTAACTCCTTGTTTGAGAGCTAAGTTTACTAGTCAAAGTATAACTCTTCTAGTTATAATTCTGACTCCTCAGAACTATTGGAATAGAACATACTTCCTAAGTCTAGAAGAGTAAAACAAATTGGGGACTAAAATTTCTTAAGTTTTTGGTATGTTCCTAACAATAAAGTGCAATGTTGGGGAAGTGGGGGACAAAGTATGGAGAGGGGGAGAGTTTATGGGGTTGGAGTGGAAAAGTTGGAGGAAATGAGATACAAAACATGAAAGGTAAGAAATTCAGGGACTTAAACGCGGGAAGGCTTGAAACTCGGGGGCGAAGGACACAAAGACTATGAAGGGGTTAAAATGAGGGTAGCTGGGTAGGGAACCTTCCCAGGCTGCCTAGCCACAAACCGTAGCAATTAATGGAGGTACTTGTGTCCGCCTCAAAATGATATTGGTCCTAATTTCTTTCTTTCTTTATTTCTTTCTTCTTCTACTTCTTTTGTTTTTTTGTTTTTTTTTTGCCATTATGTCAATTGATTAGGTAAACCATAAACAAACAAAGTTTACCCACCTTTTGTTATACCACATGATAAAACAAAACTCATGAGAACATAACTTTGCAATAAAGTATCAGGTTTCCATTTGATATACTCATCATCCCATAACCTTACCTTGCCCACAATGATTGTTCTATAGCTAGTTTGTACATTACTTACTCCCATCGCCTCCCATCTGCTGCAGCGCTCTGACAGAGGCACCATCAGTCGAGCCAGATTCCTTGCGTCCAACGCCTCCCATCTGCACTCCCGTCGAGGAACCATCCGTCAAAGCCCCCCCGTGATTGATGCCACCAAATGCCGCTTTCAGTCCCTTCCTTTGTTTCGCCTTCTGAGCCCAACCGACGAGCCCAACTTGGATGTGCTCATCAAATATCGATTTCTTGAAATGGGTTCCCATCTTGCATCACACAAATAATGGGAAGGGAAAATTAAGTAAACTTCACCAATCAAAAGTTCAATCTTTGCCAAGGACCGTATGGTCTAGTGGCACCAAGTTGCCCCCTATATGGGAGGTTGTGAGTTCGAGCCTCAGTGGAGGCGGACTATTGACTCTTTGTGCTTCAGTGGGTTGAGAAAGCAGTTATGAACAGATACTGCATTGTAACATAGTACTCAAAAAAAAAAAAAAAAAAAAAAAAGTTCATGTTATAAGTTCACCTGTGTAACTATAGCATAGATAGGCAGTGTGCTATAGCTGCAAAGCACCTGAATAATTACTCTGGAAAAAAATAAAATAAAACAAAGTAAATTTGTTAATGTTGTTTACTTGTTCTTAAGTTCTTGTAAATAAAGAACAGATATTTCCGGTTTGGTGGGTAGAAATGATAAAAAAACGCCACCCAAAGGGGACGCAAATTGCATTGCACTTACCCTATGACGAGCCTAGGGATGATGAATTTAACGTGCCCCATTATGCAGGAATCAAAACCATATTGCACCTAGAAGTGTGATTAAAAGAAGTAACATTATATTGAAGGGCTACAATGAAGAGCATCGCCAGAAATAGGGTGGAAACAATTAGATTGCTTACCAAAATCCAGAAGAAAAACGCTATTTCAAAAGCATTTTGGAAGAGAATGAAGTGTATCAGGAACAGAACAATTTGAGGCCGACCAAACCAAAAGTGCTCATCCGAAGGTTGCACAACCAATTCACCCTCTATGGCAACATGTTTCTCAGCAACCTCATGAGCCAATTGGATGATTACGTGCTCCAACTTCGTGCCAACAGCAAGTAGGAGCTGAAAATTATAAAATGGAAACTATCGTTAGAATCTAAGATTGGGCTAAGGTCACTCAATTTGGCTATACAGTCGGGTGAACACAAAGTGGAGCCTGATACCATGTTAGAATCTAAGATTGGGCTATAATGCACCTGGACCAAAACCCAAAAGACTGAATCCAATCAATTAGCTAGTCTAACCCATGACCTGGTTCTGTGTTAATTTTTTCAATGTGGGACTCTCTTAACAATTATCAACCAAAGAAGAAACACAGAAAGCTTTTGATGTAAATGAAAGTTGGCTAAATTGAAGCATGTACTCCATCTCAACTAAAAGCCTAAGCTGAACACGCAGACCGTAGTCGCTTATACCAAATTGAAGCATGTGCTCCATCTCGACTAAAAGCCTAAGCTGATAGTTGGATTGCACATTAATGGTTATATGCTCAACAGGCTAAACCACCATAACCCCCACACCCCACAAACTCTCCCCTCCGGCGTACACACACACACACACACACACACACAAAAAAAACATAGTATACAGTCACTCACAATGAAAGGGATGAATGCGATCCAAAAATATGTATGCCAACCTGCAAAAATAATGAATAAAATTAATCTTTGGAGGAGCATAGAAGAATGCAACAGTAATTGCAAAGAGAATCAAATAATCTCGGGCTAGAATGGCATACCATTAATATTCAGCAATAAGAAAATAACCACAAATACCCACAAATACCAACTGCAGCATAAAAAACGAAGAAAGAAATTCATTATAATGACCAAAATGCAAAAGAAATTTGCAATAGGGCGAAGGTAGACTATCGAAAGAACAAAACATAATAGAATAACTAGATAAGAAACTTCTATCATTGTCACTTGCCTAATACCAACAACCGTCTTGAAATCATCCTCTAAGGCACGAATCATGTACTTGTGAAAATTGAACTTTGGATTTCCCCTACAATGAGTCTGTGGCAGGGTAAAAAGTTACACGATGCAATGAAGATCATCTAAAGCTAGAGTGTTAAAAAAAAAAAAAAAAAAAAAAAAAAAAAAAAAAAAAAAAAAAAAATCAGTACATGAAGAAAGTTACCATAATGAATCCCAAACGAAGTGCGGTATAATCTGACTTGGTGACAGAACCATAGAACTGCTTAAAGAAAGAGTGCTGAAAAGTTCACCAAAAATAAGGTAAATTAAACTCATACCGATGCTTATAGTAACCCGACAAAAGCAAAGAATTTAACCATGCTGATTAATCCCTCACACTTGCATTCTTCACTACTAACTAGACTCGATGTCAAGCAATAAATAGCTCAAGTGGCTAACACTTTAACTACGCCTCATCTTTGAAACATATTAAATCCCTAGATTGCCGGTTTACCCACAAACAAGTAGCAGAGAATTAACCGTCTTGATAAAATTGTTAATTATCTTCCCAAACACTGGTCAACGAGATTAGTAGGGGAAAGAACAGAAAGCATAGGAGCATACCAACCAACCCAAGATGATTGACCGTTTACCCAGACCCACAAAGCGATTCTTGATGAAATCATGTTGCTGGACATTGGTGACAGCCGGTTTCCCAACTGCAGAGAACAAGCAATGGTGTCCATTACTAGAAGAAAGTTAGAATTTTACAGAAGACTGAAACAATTAATCATAGATGACTAGTTTTATGTACCTAAAAGAAATCGATAACTAGGTTCTTTTCCATTGCCAATGACCTAGTGGTCTAGTGGCACGAAGTGGCCCTCCCAAATGGGAGGTCATGGGTTCAAACCCCAGTGTGGGCGGTATTGACTCTTTGTGCTTCAGTAGGGTGAGAAAGTAGTTATGAACAGATACTACACTGTAACAGAGTCAGTAATACTAAAACAAAAAGAGGTTCTTTTTCATTCGTAAGTAAATGTAGATAACTAGTTTCTCCCTCAGACCCATTTGAAAGGGGTCTACTTTTTGCCCAAATGACCACTTCTCAGTAAATATTACAAAATTCTAATGTTCAAATCAACTTCAAAAGGTAACTACTTTACATTTGACCTGAAAGTTTTAAATGCCCCTGCCTCCTTGACCAGAAAAAGTAGTCAATTCCTTCCTTTAGAACCATACTTGAGTATTAAAACCCTATCTAATATTTTCCCATACTAACACACTTTTTCACTCTTAATATAATTTCATAATGGAATGAATAGAAGGGTAGAAAGGCTACAATATTTCCATATGCAGTAAACTGTACCATTCTCATTCTCATAATTATGCTTGGCAATGGCATCCTCCCAGTGCTTCCATTGGCGTATCTATGCCATGGTTTAACAAATTAAGAGCAGCTAGTTTACAAACAGGATATTGCAGAAAATAATCAAAGGATGAGGAATCCATGACACCACAGTAGTTCTCGAGATTTGAACTGACCTTTGCTCCTCCAAATACAATGGTGAGAAGGGAGAATGTAACATGCACAATTGCAAGGACAAAGATAAAGATGTGCAGGTGATGCAAACCTTCCAGAGATAATAATGGGACCTTATGCTGTAGAAGAAAATTAAATAAAATATATTAGAATCCGGCGTTTTCACATTTAATTTTAATTATTAAACTTTATTGCAAATATTTTTTTTGGGTCAGACCACGAGGTGCCCTGAGCAGGCCCTAACTATAAGAGGCACCTTTAAGCCCGTACCATACTCAGACTAATCCCGGTTCACACCGAGCCGGCCCAATTAAGGGGCAAAGTGTTAACCAGATTGGTTTTTTCATATGAGAGGGGGTTTGAACTCCCGACCTCTCTTAAGGGACGAGAGTGCACGGCCACTCACACCAACCAAACTGGTTTTTATTGCAAATAATACCCTTGGATCAGTACTTTAGTACCTTTGACAAAATATACAGGCAGATAATATTTAGGCACATCTATTCCAAACATTTGTTAGGAACCCCATGGTTGGTCTTTACACCATTCTCATTTACAGAGGGCTGGGGTTGTGCAAGGCTAACAACTAATTTACCAAACATATGTCAGTCATTCTTTCCCGTGTGATAGTTACTCAATTCAAATCATTACATTTAACACTACGGTTAGGATCAAGCGCTTATCACTACACCAGGGCACAACTTTATTTCCTGGTAGACTACCATCACATTTTCGAGAAACAGGGTGCTACCAGCCCTTTACCGGCATCTGCCCAACAATCCCCTAACCACCACCGCCCAACAATTCCCCCTCCCAGCACCTGCCAAAAGCTATAGCCAGTAGCGAAGGTGCAACTGCCATCACATTTTCAAGAGGCAAAGTGCTGGACTTGGCCCATTACCGGCCCAACAATCCCCTAGCCACCAATAGCTAGACTTGGCCTTTCACGGGCCTCCGCCCAACAACTACTAGGTGGGAAACTTTCCCTAAGGCCCTGTTTGGTAAAACATTGGCCTATAGGCCAATTTTGGCTTATTTGACCACTATTAATTGTTTGATTTAGTTAAAATATCAATATAACTGTTTGGTTAATTAGCTTTTTACAACTCCAAAATGCTAAAATTCAAAAAGCTACTCCAAACAACTTTTTCAATTAGCTTTTTGAGAAAAGAAATTATACTAAACAACTATCGGCTAACAGCTAATTACCAAACACTTTTCTACAACAGCTAATGTTATTAACTAGTTATACCCTCTAATTAACACAATCAGCTATCAGCTAACAGCACTTTACCAAACAGAGCCTAAATCATAGTGAACCTAAATATGATAAGAAATCTGTATTGATTTTGAATTAGCTACTTGAAATTGGCTACCTTTTTAGCACAGTAGCCAACGCTATCTCCTCCTGAAAGCAAGCGGCGATGATGGGAATTTGTTTCTGGGGCAGCATGAACTGCTTTATCTGATAATGAACAGGGAAGTAAGTGGCGCATGATATCCTCAGGCACGCAAATCTTGGTTATGCGACTTTGAGACACAGTCAATAGCAAGGATATAAACCCCAACAGCATCAGCTCTGCGCCCACACATTTTTCAGTCAGTTCAATAGCCAAACTTGTGGAAAGTAAACCAAACTTTGTTTTCCTTTTTCTTATGAATAGAAGAATTATACCATAAACAGTAATAATAACAAAATTGAAATAAAAAGTTGATGTGAAATAAAAAGTATGCTTTGAGTCCAAAAGGAAAAAAAAGGGAAGATCTTTGTGACCTTCTTTAATTTTCTGTAGGGCTTCATACAAAGGCTTTTGGTTCTTCTTCTTCAGGTACTGCAAACACAAAATTAAATCAGATGGAAGATCAAGAAAGAGAATAACTTCAAAGGAAAAGTGAAAAGCTGAGACCTTTCCGGTGAAGTGGAGTAGGCGTTCGACGGCGAGAGAAATGGCGACGATGACGGTGCAAACGGCGGCGACCACCCACGTCGGAGTGAACTCCAATGTTGTCTCTTCCTCTCCTCCACCCCCACTCATTGCTCTTTAATCTCCTCCTCCCTACACAAATCCAATTCAAATCCAAACCCAAACCTTCTAACTTAATATAGAGCTACAAAAATCCTTTCTGGCTTGGGTTGGTGAGAAGAACACCAAAAAATCAGAACCAGAAAGAGAGAGAGACAGACTGTCTGTGGGAACTGAAAGAGGTAACTGAAAAAGGACAATGCATTGTAAAGCCATACTATTTTGAATATTAATTAGTTTGGGGAGAGGTTATCCAAGTGGTTAATAAATGCTCCGTATAAAATCTAGAAAAAGAAAATCAAAATTGGAAAAAAAAAATAGCATCACAAATTCACAATAAATCATGTTGTGGCAAATAATTAAATAATAATTATTGCGGATGGTATTTTATATCGTATAATTTTATGAAAATTTATAATAATGGTTTTATATTGAAATTTTAGTGGCACCTTGTGCTCAATTGACACCTTTGTCTCTCTCGAAGGAAAGTCACAAGATTGAACTCCAGTGGTGGAGTATTGACTCATAGTTGAAAAAGTATATTACATCGTAATAGAGTTGATAATACTAAAAAAAAGAAAAAAATCTAGTGACAATTTTGCCATTTTGGTATCATAATAGTTAATTTGCCCATGAATTATATGCGTACTAAATTTTGTCTCTAAATTGTAAAATTTGTGACAAAATTAGAGGTGACAAAAATATAAAGTTTGGTGGTTAAATAATCTTTAAAAGAAATATTAGGGTTATTTTTACAAGGCAAGATTTTTTATGAGACGAATCTTTATTCATGATACGTATTGATTTTTTATAAGTACTATAGTTTTTCTCATAAATAATTTTTCAACCCCTAAATATTATATTTTAATTTAAAATTATTATATTTTTCCTAACAAGTATCAAATCTACTATACTAATAAGAGCCCAAGAGATTTAGGTCTATAATGGATAGAAAAAATGGCGGTCACAGATTTTAATCAAACGAATGGCTCAGATTGATTAAAAGATTGATCAGATTTAAATTTTACACTAAAATTTCCTAAAATACCCACACACCGTTACTAATTCCGTTAAAATTTTAAGAATTGCCGTTAGTTCACCGTTAACTTACTCATTGATTTCAATAAAATAAAAAAAAAAAAAGGTCTTAGGTTCAAACCTCATGCCAATCAAAGTTGGCATAATTAGTACTTTATTTTACTCTTATTAAATTATATTATATAAATAATAATTTAGTAGTTACAACAAAAGATAATACATATGCATTTCTTTAATTTAGAATTATGTGTCCACAATGTCTTTATTAAAAAAAAATAAATTATTCATTATCAATAAATTAAATAAGATAAATAATTTTATTAGTTATATTGTCTTTATTTTTCTTCAATATAAAAATTCTTTATATTCAAATTTATTAATTGATTATATTCGCTACATTGTCCTTACAATGTCTTTATTCAGTGAAAAAAAAATTATTAATTATCAATAAATTAATTAAAAGAAATATTTTCATTAGTTATATTGTCTTTATTTTTCTCAAATGTAAAAATTTTTACATTCAAATTCATAAATTGATTATATTCACTACATCTTCTATTATCTTTTTTGTGCACTATTTTTCTAATTAAATATCAAAGTTATAACATAAAATAATATTATATATTTATTTACCAAGTATTTTATTAATACCATGAAAAAATTAAAAAAAAAAATATAATTAATAAAGCCAACCATATTAACTACTTGAGAGATTTTGTGACAAAGAGAGTATTCAAATCACACAACAAATTGAAGTGAGAACTACCTCGCAATGTCCTTGTTTGACAATCAGCAGTTAGCGGTTAGCGTTAGCGGATTTGACCAGCGAATTTATTTAATTATTAACATTGGGTAGAAAAAATGACCGCCAAATTATTAAATCAAATGAATGGTTCATATTGTTCAGGTTTTTTAATTTTTTTCTTTTAAGATTTTCTAATTTATCCTTAATTATATGATTATCCATTTAACTTTTCCGTTCATTCACCGTTAGTCTAATTCTAATATTAAAGTCTAATATAGAATTATAACTACACCATTAATCTAATTATAATATTAAAGTCTTAATAGAACTTAACCACAAATCCTAATGTCGGAATCTCCTCAAACAATATTACTATATATTTAATATTTTATGCCCTAATTTTTATTTGTTCTCCCTTATGTCCCGTATTTGGTTTCAACCATACCTATACAATTATTTTATTGACAATTATAATCAATATTGACTATATTATCTTGCATTTGTAAACTTAGAATTACCTATTTAACCCGCACGAGCTTAGCTCAATGGTTTAGTAGGTAGTATTTGGGAGAAGAAACCAAGGTTTGAACCTCGGCGGCGGCAATGCGGGAATTATGTCCAAAGTGGGCAGATTCCTTGTGTGTATCAGCATTTGGCCCTGTCTGCTAAACCATTGACTCACCGTGATTTACAACATCCCACAATGCTCTGTCGGGTCAGAGTGTGGGGGGCCCTTGGGGTTGGGGACTCAACCTTTGGGAAGAATTACCTATTTAAATACGCAAATTCAACCTTCAATTATCTATGCATGAACAATTTCAATATAATCTTGCCTTAATATACTTTAAAGTACTTATTTTAAAAAAAGCATTGGGCATTATCCCAATCGCGCAATGCGCGTAAAAAACTAGTTTTTCCTAATAAGTATCAAATTTTCCTTACAAGTACGGAGTGTTAGGAACATTTGTTTTTAAATTTTGATAATACCAAATAATATGAATTTTAGACCCCAATTATTTTATTTTATAGACTTAAAGATTAATTCTGCTCAAACATTCGAACCAACCAATTAGTACCTCGAGTAGTAACGATTCTATCCATCCAAATGTTAACTCGAGAGGACAATATCAACATTAGACTCGAAGAGTAACCCGAGTGGTTAACTCACGAGTGGTCCAAGCTGAAGATCAGAAGACTGAAGATTCGAAGAGTAGAAGTTATCAAGACCAAAAGGTTGCAAATACGAGAGGTAGAAGAGTCTACCTTTCGAAGTGTTGCAAGACCGAATGGTAAAGTCAACCATTCGTAACCGAAATGTTGCAATGGTCAAAGAGTATGAAGGACCTACCTTTTGAAGAGTAGAAGGGACGAGTGGTAGATGAGATAATTGTTCTAATTATTGAATCCCAATAGGATAGGAGTTACAATATGAAAGCAATAACAATTAACGTAATACTATCCTATCTAACAGGGAGACCATATAAAATAAACCTAAGAAATAAGCAGAGACAATAGAGACTGGTCCTGCTTGACCCAGGCTCTGTAAACCGGGTTCGGTGTGGAGACGGCAGTGGTCGCGGCGGAACCGGAATCTGATGGAGCAACGTCGATCATGGGTGGCGGACATGGCGTCTCTCCATCAACAAAGCCAAGGAGCTCTTGACCTCGGAGAAACGGCACCAACTGAGTTCGCCAGAATAAAAAATTCCGGTAGGTGAGCTTTATGGAGACAAAGTGGTGGGTATTCGATAGAGAGGTTTGGGCGACCGGAGGTGCACCATCGCCGGCGGTTACTGTGCGCTCGGACGAATTGGTGGACATGGCGGTCGCTGGAAAAGCTAGGTAGGGGATCAGATAGTTTTGCGGGGAGGAGAAGAGAGAGAAAGTATACCCGGTCTATCTGATACCAGATGAGATAACTGTTCTGATTATTGAATCCCAATAGGATAGGAGTTACAATATGAAAGCAATAACAACTAACGTAATACTATCCTATGTAACAGGGAGACCATATAAAATAAACCTACTACATGACTAGTCAAAGATAATAATAATAATAACTATACTATGGCTAACATGGTAAAGTCAACCATTCATATCCAAGAGGCTCTAAGGTTCGAGGCAAAAACCTAGTTAACTACACGAAAGGGCTGCTCAAGGATTCTCTGAGCTGTACAGTCAAAAACCTTAAAAAGATGAGCGAATGTGTCCAAGGCAAAGTGAGTCCTATGAACATATCCCAAGGCATATATTTCATTTAATGCCCTGAAATTTTGTGCAGAACAAAAAGCATTGTTCAGTGCAAATTGAGTCTTTAACTGCTGGAAAATCTGACACGCTCAGCTACCCTCCGGATTACTCGCTGGTATCTACACGCTAGTCACTAGCCGTTTGAAAGTAGTTTTCCCTCCAACGGAATATTTCAACGTGCCTATAAATACCCTCTTCCAAGACTGAAGAATGTGTTGGTCATTTTAAAATTTATCAAGTTCTCAAAGCGCTTTCAATTTGTTTTAACGACCAGTGTTCAAGTGAAAGAGAGACTAAAGCGAAAAAGAATTACATCCAAATTATAGAGACTTGTGCTGCTCAAGACGTCAAGAGCCAAGTTCTCTAGTTGGAGAAGAAGAAAAACCATTTCTTCAACCTTGTAATCTCTACTCGGTTGCAGTAGAAAGAAGCGGAGTAAACTTGGTCAAGAGTTGAAAAACTTGGTTATGGAGTTCATGGCTGGCTTAGTGTTCAAAGTGTGAATGTCCAGGAAGTTTGTACTGGAGATAGTGCAACCCTTCTTAGGGTTTAAGGAGAAGAGAGGAGTAGGCTGGTTATAGCCGAACCACTATAAAAATCTCTCTCTCACTCCCTTTTAATTATTTATTGCTTATTGCATAACATACAATCAAACCTAAAATTTGATAAGATTAAAATAACGTGCAAAGAAATTCTCAAAGGGTTAACAAAATTTCCGTTGTGCATTATGAACAAGACGATTCACCCCCCCCCCCCCCCTCCCCCAAGACTTGTACCCTAACCCTCACTGGGACCAACACGGAGTAATATATAATCAATTTATCTATGATTAGCATTACATTATCCCTTATTGCTAAGAAGGAAGGAAGCATGGTGGCCCAAAAGAAATGAATAAAATGCTATATTAAAGATGTGTAACTAGGGATGAAAAAAGGCTAGGCGGGGGCGAGCTTTGAAAAATTAGGCCTGAGCCTACTATGAGAACTTAAGGCCTGGGCTAGGCATAAGCCTGTACGTAGGCTTTTTTTTAGGTTCAAGTCTGAGCCTACAAAAGGCCTAGCATGATCTAAAGCCTTTTTTAAGGCCTATAGGACTCTGTTGTAGATTTTAAATAGGTTTGAGTATATTTAAGATAAGCACATTATACGTTTTATAAGGACTACATATTTGTTAAAAAATATTAATT